CCGCAGAAAACAAATTCCATCTTCTCAAACGATTTAGAGTCTGCCACACAGGCCAGTTGGCCTAGCATTGCGGTTGGGATGGTTGCCAGCGGATGGACCGTCATAATTCGCCGAAAGTATCGTAGATCCGGCGACATGACTAAGTCGCGCACCTCGTCACCGCGCATAAACGATAGGGCACTTGTGAAGGTGCGAATCCGAGGACGACGCAGAAGATTGCGCAACACGAAACCGCCGTGGACAGGACCCAAATGAATGTGTTCCACGCTCGCTGGTATGAAATGTTCAAGGCGGTACCACTCCGACTGGCCGAGATTGATTATGTATAAATGTTGGACGTTCGTACACGTCCAAAGAATACGGTCAATGATCGCTATGGGCCAGTAGGTACTGCCATACAGCAACAGAGTATCCATTGTTTCGCAGATGGGGCCGATCCACAAGTTGCAGACTAGCGACACCCGTGTAGTGTCCGTTGTGTAGGTATCATTAGCAGAATGGAACTTCTCGATGGCGGATGGCGTGCTAAGCTCTACAGAGTGATATAACACGGGAAGGACCTGTGCGAGACTTGTCTCAGTGGAAAGGTTATAAGGAAGGAAAAGGCGAGGTAAACCCATTGATGTGAGGCCCGACAGACAAGAGTTAGAGACATAGCCGTAGGGCGATCAGCAGACGCAAGAATAAAGACTGTTGGCACCAGGTAAGTTAACGATTTATACTAGTTAGGCTTGCGCACTCTGTAATGGACGTGAAGTCAATAAATAGTCGTACACGGACTAAGTTAGATACATACTTTTCGAAGCAATTCCAACGGTATAGAATACGCCAAGGTCAAGCCGGGTTGCAACCGTTGGGAGTCAGGCAATGAAGCTGAAGATCCATATGCAGGTGATGGTCCCGAGCTTTCATCGGCTGTACACGTAGCAACAATGGTAGACATTATACAGACGTTTGCGCCTGGAAGTGATACTTGAAGTTACCCAAACGACATATCGTCGTCCATGTCTTTCCAACACTGCCACCGTGACTATGGACGGTCCGAATGACAGCATTTGCGTCATTGATCGCCGATCAGATTCCTCTCGGTTTTCAAATTTGAACGTCCCGGCTCCCGTGCTTATTTTTTTAATGCACCTCCGTCCCACTTGCTCGTGAATATTGAATTCCTGCCAATGGTTTCCTCAACGGCGTAGTTATCCCGTTATGCTGTTTACTTCATTTCTTAGTGAGTATGTTCGGGTCGCTGGTTCATTCGTCGTTGGCGAGGGCCTCTCCATCTCTGGTAAGTAATTGCTGCACATGTCGACCATGGTTCGGTCTCACGAGCGTCGCATCCCAGATATCGTCGCTCATTCATGACATATGCCACACCACAAGAAACCAGAGAAAAAGCCATATGCAGCTCTTGTCACAGGAAATTATCACCCCTTGCCTGTGAGTACCATTTGTTCATGCTAACGCCGGATATGCCTGACCCCGTACTCTCAGAGAGCTCCAATGGCATTATGCACGCACTCAGAATGGGAGCGTGGTAGACATAAAAGTGCCTTATCATGACGCTCATAATTTGGGAATATCCGATTACTTCTCTGCGTTGGGTATGCAGATTATTTTGATATTTCTATATGAAGTCAAACCATGGCACTTGCGCAGGATATATCCTAGCGCACCTCGGAGGTCCGGAAAGCAATTTGAGCTTCGTCCATTTGCTGCAGCTGCTTTCTCAGTACGCTGCTTGGTGTCGACTGTCAGCGTCAGCGCTCCGTGTCAACCCGCCTACGGTCGTGCAATTGCTTTGGGTTTGTTCTCCGCAATATCGCTTCGGGGGGACCCATGTCGAAGCAAAGGATGGCCTCTTTTGTTTATCTTCCAGCGTTTCACCGGGAAAAGGCGATGGGCTCAAGGAAGTACGGAACGTGCGTGTTCGTGAGCTCCTCGCCGTTTGGCCGGATTTCTCTCTGTTGTCGCCTACGCCGGTGCAGCAGGCACACGCGGAGTCTGGCCTGATCAAGTCAGTTGATTCGTCGGCAGAGTTATTTGGCACTCCTTGGGGACATTGCGGAGAAAGTGTCTCCTTTGCAGCGTAAGTAATACCCTTAACTCTCAGCTACACGAGATTCGCTTACAGCAGTAGTATGCATCGCACCATGAAAGCTGGCGTACCTATGGGTACACTCGCTTTGAGCGTAAAGGCTATGACATCCAAAATCGCTGGGACAAATATTGTCCCCGCGCAAGCCATCCAACAATTAACACGTTTGTCAGACATTGTCGAGGTTTTCAGGACGTCGGGCGCTCTTCGACCCATGTGTCTTAACTGCCAGTATCTGTCTTCCGGGCGAATAGAGGACTACGCGTACAAGTTGGCTGGATCACAATTATTACAGGTTTAGTGCACTATCTATTCATCGAGCTAGTGACTGCTTTGACGGTGCACTCTACGTCTTAATGCATATGCAAGATCCCACCCCTCGTGGATATCTTAACCGATAGGGGAAATTTTCTTTCGACTTGTCCCACTATAGACTTTTCTCATGTTACATTTTATGGTCAGTTTTCTGGCAGTTAGAGCGGAATAACGGGGCGGTCTCTCTCAAGGAGATCGATCAGATGTTTTCATCCCTGATCCGTGTCGCGAGCACGTGACAGTATCCAGTTGGCGACGCGACGAAGTTTAAACTTCAGCTTCAGGATCCCAGTGGCCTATAATACAGTAAGTACTCGAAGAACATATAGAAGCGACCTGATATACCTTCAGCAGATAACGGAATTGGCAGTCCAGAAACAGATGGGCTTACTGTGATCACCCCGGTGATCTGGCGGTCGAATGCCCTTGTCACGGTGGTCCATAAGCCACTGGTTATCCTTGTTTTGGTGTCGAGGCTGACATCGTCAGTTTACTACATTGCAAGGATCGGTTACCAGTCTAACTAGTATCTTTGATTATGTTGGTGTCGAGGGACAATCCCATTACCCTTCTATGCGCCTCGTGGCCGCCTCATGTCTGCACAATGAGACAGACGACATCTCCGAAGGGCCGGTCCAGAGTCGATTGGCTGCAAGTTGCCGAGCCCCCTTGCAAAAGACTCCGAAGTGTTCCACACATGCTCATTGTCTCGCCTCCGCTGATGCGCAACTTGCTCATTGTCCAATGTCCGAACCATTGTCTCGTCGCTCGTTTCCTGGTCTCTCTGCTTCTCCGATGGCTGCTCACTGGCTGCCTCGTGCAGGCCGTATTGGTAGCGAGGCACCTATCGTGCTCACCAACTCCGAGCACCCAGAGATCGATATTCCGTATATAAGAGGACCCCGCAAAGCCATGGCCGCTAAGTTCATCGACCAGCTTCTACTCTCCAGAAGTCCCTCTGCCTTCTGCTTTGCTGCCCTTCGAATATCTCAGCATGTTGCCATCGACATTTACTCGCGCTCGCAACGGCCTTGCCCTCAAGTACGACTACTCTGACACCGATTGTGCGCCAAAGTCCGTTCTTTTACAGCTACAACGCTGACCTGTTCTTTAGCGGACGATTGCCTATCCAACCTCATCGCCGATTCACTCCCCCCTCTTCCGCCGCCATCTGCCACTACAAAGATCCCGCGTCCATGGAACCAATTCATGGTCTTCCGCTCATACTACTGCAGGAGGCACCGCGATGAGGGCACGGAGCAGACAGCGATCAGTGTGAAGGCGGCGCAGGTTTGGAAGGGTATGAGCCCTGACGATCGCGCCCCGTATAAGCAAATCGCAGACCGGCGCCGCAAGGAGCATAAGCTCCTTTACCCCGACTATAAGTTCTCGCCGGGCACGAAGAGGACGGCGGATGGAAAGGCGAAGAAATCCAAGTCGCACCGGCGGGAGCATTCCCCGTACAATCCTCCGCCAACGCGCCGCCGCTTTGTATCGCGGTCGCCGTCGTTGGTTCCTGACTCGCTGTCCCCAGCGGGATCCGCGGAACTATCTCCTGCGTCGACATATTCCCTTTCTTCACCCTGCCTCGCGCCCAGCCTTGTGCTACCAGCCGACCAATTCCTGGCCGCCAGCGCGAATTCTCCCGGTGATCATTTTGCCAACGACTTTATCGCACCTCTCGATATCACATACGACTCCCTTGATCCTAACGGCCCGATACTCGTCGTGAACGACCCCGAGTACGACAACATCGTACCTAACGCGCTCCAGCTGGGCAAGGTAAGCAGCGTACGGTCTTTCCGTTGTATCAATATTTGTTCATCTACCTCTTCTTTTAGTATGACCACCGATTTGGCTGCTGCGACGATTTTAGCTGGGACACTTCGAGTCCCTTCTTGTGGGCACCTGATGCACTCTTAGAAGAATACGAAGTCGCTGCGTCGGCTGCCCCCATACCACCAACTCGCTGTGAAAATGGCCCACGCAACAACAGTGCCGAGAAGGCACTTGACCCCAAGTCAGCGGATGATTGGGACGATGTCCTTTTCAGTTCACTTCTTCGACGCGCCTCTGATACTGGAGGTCTTGGCTTTGGGACGGCGTTGTTGTTTTAATTCTTACATATGTTCGTTATCTGGTATATAATAATTCCCGCTTTGTTGACCTTGTAGTAAACAGTACACATATTTGCATAAAATTTATAGATTTGGTTATTGCGACCGTCATGTTTGCCTTGGCCATGTGTGTTGTAAAATTTCCTGAACGTGACTTCAGGACGGATTCAGATCATTCCGAAAAAAAACTCAAAATTTGGCCTTTTGCCAAACTGATATCAAGGTCCATTGGGAAAAATTGGAATAAAAGTATGTATGCTTTTGTATGTAAAAAAGGCAAAAATACAGGAAATTTCAGCTTTTGCCCATTCCAGGATCCTAGGCTGCCCAGCGCTGAGTGCACCTGCGGTAGATGTGATGCTCTTTCCCACAGTATACTTATGTACGATAGACTACGCTGCCCACCTTCATCGACGGGCCCCTTCGAACTTATTGTATAAGTACATGAAAAAATAATTGTTACACCGAGATCATGACGACTGTGGGGTTCGAACCCACGCTCCGAAGAACTGGATATCAGAAATCCTAATTCCAGCGCCATAACCACTCGGCCAAGTCGCCTCCAACTGAATGATGGGAAGTGGGCTTCATCAACTACTCATCTCACTACATAAACTCTCCATTAAGTACATTGAGAAGCACAAAATTGCAAGCGTTTACATCAAGTAATGCAGAGAAATTTGTTGGCTTAGAATGTGGGCATCCGCAGCCATTGCTAACGTCATGGCTTGCATTATGACGATGGTTAGAAAATCATTATATTATCCTCTGTATAAGTATGTCCTGATCATGATATCACCAGCATTGACGAAAGAACTAGAGTACATTAATGTGTAGAGGCGGAGCACGACGATGGGCCACGTAGGTGGATCTGCTGCTTGTAAGGTGAAAGAACGAATAATCTAATCAATGTTGCGACCGCACTGCAGCAGGAAGGTAGTGACGATCACCGCATTGAGCAGGCCGAGGCTGATAGCCTCTTGTGTCGTCTCGAGCAAAACGCTAGACGGAGAGCGAGAAATCTTTCCCATAAATCGGACGCCAGACGCGTCACGAAGATAGATCTGCAATGAAACTGAGCATTGTCCACATGCGTAAACAGTGAAGCAAGTGTCGCTTCGGGAATAGCGGTGCTGTGGGGGGAGTGAATCAAAAAAATACGCACATAGATGAACTGGTCGTGGGGTGCAAACATACACTGCCGCCCCTGGATTTCCATGGTGCGCCAGCGAAAACTTATCCAGGGAGCAAACGAAATCAAGACCCGCAAAAAAAATCGAGAAAGAAACGGACGCACTTCCCGTCCGAATTCACGCGAAGCCAATTGCGCACGTCCTGCTTCACGGGCAAAAGGTAGAGGATCTCGACCCGCGGGTACCTCTGCCACTCCACGAGCGCGACGGTCTGGCCTTGTGGATTCTGAAATTTGGTATAGCCCGCAGATCCGCGATCGCCGAGGCTAAGCTGAGGAGCACCAGCCGCATTGACGACGGTCGAGTTCATGATTGACCCGCCAGCAGGATAGGTGAAGTAGAATTTGTGGAGGTTGGGCGGCTGCTTTGGGTATGGGAGCGCGCCGAAGATGGACGGTGCACCGCCCGCGTTGGGCTGGTTCCAGACGTGGAATGGGTTCATTGCAGACTAATGTTCGAGGTAAGCGTACCGTGGCCAGAGAAGGGCCGCTAGAGAAGATATTTCAGAGAACAAAATGTGCTTCTTGAGGAGACTGTAGCCAATAATGCGCATTTTTATACCTAGTAGTCGAACATCGAAACGGAAGGGCACAGTCGGTATCCGGATGCTATGAGCGCGCCAAACTATCCTACGTCGAAACACTGGGCAAATCGCCGTCCTCCCCCGTCCGTGTGCAGGTGCTTGTGCACACCGGCGGAGATGCAACGTACAGCAAGGAAGTCCAACAAGTCCTGCCCATGGTTGCTGTGCATCGAGACGAGACATATATATATAACTGAGCGGCGGTGCCCATGGAGGCTGCTCTTTGTTAATCGATTTCTGCCAGGAAAATGTGAAGCAAAGCAGAAAAAGACAGACATCTGTATACTGGTGAACAACATAAAGGATACGGTGTGCCAGGCTCCACCGTAGGAAGAACTTGATAATTGCGCGACACGCGTCGCGCAGTTTGCGATCGGTGTTGAACGGTATACACGTGCGACGACGACCACGCTGACCTACAGCCCGCTTTCCACGGAGGACGCTCATGGTGACAAACCAAATAGAAGACTAATGCTGAAAGTCATGGTGAGCTGTACATGGCACTACCTGATAGTAGGTACCATCAGTGTCTAATATCCACCAACACAATCCCGTTCTACGCACCCTCCACTGTTGCCTACCATGGGATAAGCTGAATAACGGCCCAGAATTCATCTTGTCGGAGGAAAGACAAGCTCAAAACTCCCCAGCTACCGATAATCTTAATCAGCTATGGCATACATCATCGAGCGAGTAGCTTTCGGGTAACTAGCATCGGAGTCCGCTCGGCATGACAACTGCTTGTCAATGCCGATCAAATAATACGACCTTCCCGTTCAGGACGCAAATGACCCACAAAAACGACGATAGTTTCAGCAGTTGACAAGCGCCCGCATAAAAGTAGTTCAAAAAGAATTGAATGATTTCACCCGGGAATGTGAGTACAAAACTGCTGATATTAAGACAAAGAACAAGAACAATCGATAGTACATCTCAAACCCTGCACGGCGTCAGGAAGGTGTTACATGGCGTATCTGGAAGATGGATCAGTATGGTGTCTTGAAGAACTGACAATGCTACGCACTTCCGCGTCCATTCACGAGCGGTGGCTTCGTAACGCGTACGATCGGTCTTGTACAGATGCGCAATGTCCGGCACCAACGGATCGTCGGGATTGGGATCAGTCAGCATCGAGCAAATGGAGAGCAAGACTGCAGTTGCACGCGGATAAGCAATCAAACCGCAAATCTAGCAAAGGAACACTTGCCCTTTGAGATAGTCAGTGCAGGTGACCATTGATCTCTCAGGATATCCAAGCAGATCGAGCCATTGGCGTTGATGTTGGGATGGTAGATCTTGGTCGTAAAGCTAACCTTCGGAGGCTTGAAAGGGTAGTCGGTAGGGAAAGTTATGGAAAGGAAGAACACGCCGCCCGCGTATGGCGAATCGCCCTGTCATTCAAAGCGAAAAAAAAGATGAGTAACATGGGCGGCGCCTACGGACTGTTACACGTGATAACGAAGGCAACGCACTGGGCCCATTATGGTTGCCTGCCACTGGAACATATTGTCACCAGTAGGGCCAGCGCTACAAGAGGAGGGAGGGTCGCGACCAAGGTCGACCAATTCCTGTCCAAAGGATATCAGTACATGAGGTTCACAGCTCGATATCGCGCTCGTCCACAAGATGTGAAACGAAAGAACAGGATCCGCGCGTGCGATGTATGAGATCTGGATGTACCTTGTTAATGCGCTTGAGGGCCATCTGGAAAGATTAGACAAACGGTCGGGAAACTTTGGTCGTCTGCAAATCAGTGGATAACCGTCAGAGCAAGTGCAGTGGAAGTGGTAGCGATGTAAGCGGCAGCAAGGACTGTCGGACATGCACAAGAAGCGATAGGAAGGACAGCAGGAACTCACGAGATGAGATGTGTGCTGGCAAACTGTAAAAAGACCCACAATTGTGGTGGTTTGGGACAAGGCGATGGTATCAGGTATTTGCGGCTATTTGACCGGGAACAGGTCGCTCGCGTGGATCTGTTGCCGTGATCTGGCCCATCAGTCTGACTCATGGTGACTCTTTCGAAGGTTGGTGAACGCATAAAGCGACGTGCTCGCAGTTTCTTCACGGTTCATAATATATATAGCCCTACCTTAACGGATCTAATTATCTGAATGTCTCCGTATTTTCACAAACATCTGTGCTGCCGGCGATATATAATATCGTAGCTAACAAGCCGGGCATCGCGGGAGATGGGCTATGCAGGCTAGCCCAAGCTCACTGGACCCAACGTAATGTACCTGTTAGCCATTTTTGACGTTCTCAGAGCCACCACCCAGAGAAGAGAGCAGTGCAGAATGCATTCTGTCCAAGTTGTCCAGCAGGCAGACCTCGCCAGGCTCGCCTAAGCGTTACAAGCAGCCAAAAACCACGAGCTTGACATGGCGAACTTAATGTAAGTTGGGTGCCGCGAAATTACATGACAGTGCACCTATATTGAACAGCAGAAACATTGAGAATAAACACGGAAACCCAGCCACATATGCAACCAGTAGCAGATGGACTATGAGCCAGGCGTTGCGTCTTCCATGAAAGCATCCAACTCTTTATCCAATTCCTCCGCCGTCACTTGCTTCTTGAACACTGGCCTTGTTTTTCCACCACCTCGAGCGCCCGACGTCCGTATGGGGCCGACAGTACTAGAATAAGCGGTTCAGCTCGTTGAATATCTATGACTTTTTGCAAACATGCCTCTTCTTGTGTATGTTGGAATCGTCCTGACTAGCTCGCTTCGGGAACGAAACCGTCTGCATTCGCTCCAGTAGCGACGAGGTGGACGATGCGCGATTGGCGCGGCGCGGCACAGACGTGTCGAATTGAACTGTCATCGGCTGACCTACATATTGCGCACACGTCAGTCCATCGTCACATTGAGACAGAGCAATGCAACTCTACATACCTTTCGCCTCGATATTATTGTACTGAGATATGGCTCGCTGTGCCTCGGCAGCGGTCTCATACATGACAATAGCAACACCGGTCGACCGGCCACTGCGGTCGTACTTTGTATAGTGAAGGATTTGACATTTGGCGAACGCGCGCAAAAAATCTAGTCGTAGTTTTCCCGTACCCTGATATACGGCTCGCGGATGAGCGTGCCTATTGCCCCGAATATGTCCTGCAAAGAACGGAAGTGAGAGCACGGTCGACGATGGAGCTGCTAGCACAGACGGTCAGGTTCTTGACGGTGATTTCGTAGTGCAGGTTGGACACGATTAATCTCGTGTTTTCGTTAGGCATGTTTTTGATTACTGCATCACCATTTCTGCTGGACGGCGCCGGACGCTGAAAGAATAAAAGGGTCAACTACATGTCAAGTACGCAATGGGTGCAGACTGACGCCGTAAGGTTTCTTGCCACGAGATGCGCGAGCAGAGAACATTTTTAAGAGAATAGAAAACAGAGGGGTTAGCACAATCTCGACAAAGAGTTCGTTTGGAGAAAAAAAAATATTGCAGCTGATGGATGAGGACAAGAACTGGCGCACGCTGACCGGATCATTGAATCGTTGACCGTGATTCCGGATCACAAAAATTTGAAATTACGCGGCTCTTCCGAGTCGAGTCACCGCCAACTTTATTTTTTGCTTCCTTCGAAACGCAGTGTTGCCCTTCGGACAGTAGCATTACCTGTGCCTGTCTACGAAAACATTTTTATCTGCTTTTATGGAAGTGACAAGGGCTGATGCTCCATGTTGGCAAGGTTCGAGGCCACCAGGACATCGGCTACAACTCATGGATCTTCGTGTCTCCAATCATTTTCTCCCGCAAGTATCCATGTACACA